ATAAAAGAAAGTGAAAAAACGGAATCTTTTTTCCAGTCTGACGAGGAAGACTATGGCGTTTGCCCGAAGCTTACTAAATTATTCGCAACGAAAAAGTTTTGCTACAAGTTGAATGTTTCCTGAAACCGAACAAAATTTAAAATGAACACATAAAACTATAGCTCAGTTTCCTAATTCTAAGTAGGTACGGCTTAACATTTTTTGAGACTGACAAACCTCAAACCAAATTTCTGGCTAACTCATCACAAGAATCATCACAAGATCGCGGAACGTTTGGGTGCTTTCGTGACTACTCGGCTTCAGGGATGTGGACCAGGTGGTGATCCTCACTGCGCCTGGTTGGAGACACTGCAAGTCTTGGCTGCCAAGCGATTTAATTGACGCTCTTGTTGTCAGTTTCTATCCAGATCACCTAAATGTGTGTCTGGCGTTGTAGGCACCTCGGAATGATTGGGATACGCTACGACCACTCCCCTCCCCGTCCAACCTTACTCTTGTTTTCACAATGAAGCACCGTTGTTGAGCACCGATATCATGGTGTCAATTATGATGATGATGATGATAATTAAGCCAGATTTCAGCTTTTCAACTGTTGGTTAACCTCTTGACGAAATGACGCGTGGATCTTTGAACACACAAACAGACGCGATCGATGCGTTCGTGAGTTCATATTAAGCCTTCTGCTCAAAACTACCCTGTCGCTGACGTTACCGACATCAGCGTTTTACTAAGTAGGCTGATAATAGTTCCAAAGGCTCAATGTAATATTTTCATTGGGAAACTAAAATGAGCTTTGACGTATTCAGTTGCTAGGTAAGTCCTGTTCAATCTCCTAAACGATTCCTAGGCATCGCATCACCGGTAAATTTTCTCGATCTACATGAATCATGCAGAATGACCGAGTCCGAAGATAACCCACGGACAGTTCAACTGCACTAACCAATAGAACTATGGTTCGAACACAACCTCCACATTTCGACTTCTCCTTTCTGGGCTTGGGCAACCTGGCAGTAACCCGGGTGGCACAGCAGATGGGCATAGTAAGGGTATTACAGCTGAACGACTATTATTTATAACTGGCAAAAAGTACTCACTTGTGTGATGACCGATGAACCAAACCCATGACTAGCACAAAAAGGTAATGCAATGGGTGTTCACTGCCTACACTTCACAGCGGATTTCAAACTAATCCACTGGTATTATTCTTCTAAGTTGGTCTTACATTCAGTTTTCCTGACGTGAGAGCATGTCTATTCACTCCTCTCCTCCAATTATTTTATACCGTTATATTGACACCTCCAATCGTATTTATTTCGCGTCATTGCCTAACCAGTCAACTCCGCACTTTCAGCACGCACCTGATCAAGTTGATGCGGCCAAAGTCGGATTGTGTCAGTTAACACAATAACAAACAGATAAATTCGTATGGAAACCGTTTGGTATGGCCAAGTGTTCTGCGTCGACGTGACCATGTGATGTGAATTCCAGGAGTGGAGGATGGGTGGCGCTATCTTCTGCTGATCAGCCGCTCGTGGTCAAACGGTTTGGTCCCCAAATACTAGCCTGGTGGTCGCGGGTTCGTAAGACCCCGGATATTCGGTAGATGCGCATTGCTGATGTTTCCTAACGAGAACGAAAGAGCTTTGTAGTGTGTATTGACTTTTCATCATACACCGACAGGACGAAATCTCTATTGACAAAGCAGATTATTAACGCGGGTTTACAACAGTGCGGAGAGCACTGCCATTGAACGCTGACATGACTAAGACAGGAAAGTGTCAGCTCAAAATTTATGAAAAGCCTTCATAGAAATGTCGGTGTTTTAATTTAGTTTTGTTTCGTTTTAGGTCAATCTAATACAGTCCCCATCAAATACACTTCAGTTTTATTTGAAATCTCAGTGTGATTAAAAGTGAATGATTTTGGTTATTCTAGTCACCGAGTGTTCTTTATCAGCCGAATGTAGTTCATGCAGCCTACAACTGTTGACAATTCACAGGTTTGGTGGAGCTTAACCTCCGTGCTAGCAATCTGGAGCTGAACCTGTTGGGCTACAACGAACTATTACTTACCTTCATAGGTTGGACCGTTCAACATACCCTTGCTTACAAATTGAAATAATTCATCCTTTGTAGGTTTGAAGTAGGATAGGAGATTCACGCTTTCTGTCATCATTGTTGACAGGGGGAGAAAAAAGAAGACGTATATGAATAGCGGCATAAAAAAGACGTTGTCATTATCGACATTATTCGCAACTAATCAGCAAACAGGATCCGGTATACATCCAGGACTGCAAGTAGAAAATGATCCCGCTTAAGTCACATTTAAATGGATTTTAAACGTATTGGGTGTCTGGCACGCATGATACACAAAGCTAAATGCGGAAGGAAGATCTTTTAAATTTGGTGGGAGACTTTGAGTTAGAAAACACCTAACTGTGTAGCAAAGACGTCGCACCGAATAGTTGGGAGTACGTTTTGAACCGATCTCATCCAGCAATACCAGGTGCTCTCTTCCTTCTGAGCTGTCCCGGATCTAATCACTGAATGATTTTCGTGCAATACTTTGCCGTTTTGACTGCAGCTCTCTTTTCAGTTGACTTTGTAAACTGTACTATAAATGAATATGCCATGTCCAAATTTTTGACTCATAGTATTTCAATGACAAGTTTGCTGAAATCAGCCACTAATTTAATCCAAGTCCCGATTCCTTCAGTTCGAACCAAAGGTGTTCGTGCCTCGCTTCAATATTGTTCGAAAAAGGACTAATTGAGTTGTCCCGATTTCTTCAGTTCGAATCAAAGGTGTTCGTGCCTCGCTTCAATATTGTACACAAGTGAGAAGGTAACCAGAGTTTCGGGTAACCAGATGAATGGCAACAGTGAAGTCTGTGGTAGTAACGGTCAGATAACCATGGAGTGGCTGATCAACTCGATTACACAATGAGATAGCTCAGTCAAGGCTGTACAACCACTTTTAAGAGTCCGTAAGTATACCGGGATAATTTGCAGCTCTAAGCATCCAAACTACATCACTAGTATGGCACTTGATAGCTTATTGGCCAGCGCGTTGGCCCTGGCCGACAACGACGTGTTTCCTGCTGACATTTGGATCGTTACCGTCGACCAACGGCCCCGACAAAAAAACCTTCCCTGTAACTGCTTAAATCTTCCAGAGTAATCTCTGAAATCCCAAAGCAAACCGTTTGTTTCTCACTCAGAATGTGTAGAGCGATCGCTGACTAGTTCTCAGACCAACCTGAATAAGCACTGTTGTGAAATACTGGGCATGCTCTTAGCCTTTATCCTGTTTAACGGATGGTTCACTTGACCGACGTCAAGTGCATCGCCATCAGTACAGTATAGATTCCGTGTGTGATTCATGGTGTATAGGTTCACATCAAAAGGGACTCAATCTTGAGTTCTCGCAAAAAATCTCTTGTTGCGTGCTGTTTTTTTAAAGATACCATCATCGAACCGCTTCCTAGAGCGCATGAAAGCCCTCATTGGATGGCCTACAAAATCCTATGGAGTCTGTTTATATTAAAACTTCCGTAAGTTACCACACTGAGTTGGTTGTTCCATTTGAGTGTGACCCCATCCCATGAAACTTGTGGAAGTATAGCGGCCCATTTATACGAAATGACGCATGAAATTGGCAGCATAGTTAATCGCGTGATATGAATATTTATTCATTTCAACCCTTCCATCAAAAACCAAACCACAACATGTTCTACAAACTCCCTCATTCGCACACTAATTTGGTTTTTAACGGTAGACTTAAATGAATTCAGTTAAAATTCGCAGTACATTTTTTAGACGCAACACACTACTCGCAGGATTGCTGAAAACCCTTCGACAGCCCAAGACCAGTTTACCCCTCTTCATAGTTTGGTTAGTTTTCCGCACGCCCTCGGTTTTCGACAACGCTATGGTCTATTCGAAACTGAACTAGACGAAATCCTCGCATTTTTTCACTAATTTGGTTTGGATGCGAGACCACTAAATCCAGCTGATTTTCTCTTTAGTGATAGAATCTTTCAACAAACTTGGTTGCACAAATGAGTACTTTCCGTGAATTCCATCCAGTTTGGGTACATGTAGATCATGAAGTTGTGAGGATTCTTAGGATGGCACCTTCCTGATCAGCGAAGCCTTTTATGTGCTCACGAAAAACTTTTCAGCGACCTTATGAGTAGTGTGTTGTGGGTTGTATTCGAAAGTGTCTGAGGACTAGTTCGGAACTTTGACTTTGTGATACCTTGTCTAAAGCAATTGCTTTTTTGCCACAAGTATTGTTCCTCTGATTACCTGAAATGAGGAACCTTAAATTCTCAGAAAGTTTCGTATTTTTGGCATTCCCTATAAATCACATGTGAATTTCGTGGGCTTTGTGGAAAACATTTCTAAGCTGCATTTTTTCAGTTAAAACGCAGCCATTTTGAATATTCTACGAAATCTTTGTCGCCACCAGAACTTATTATTAGTGCATAACCTTGGTCGCGCCGGAATCCAATATTCCAATGTTTGACCTGCGAAAAAGCCTGCTCTGAAAAAGCCTGCCCTGAAATTACCTGAATTATTGTGCCTGAACAGTTGAACTTGCTTACCCTTGAGTGATAGTTGGAATGTTCCGGGGTATAAAAACTTTACTAATCTATTCAAACTCATAAAATTAATGGCATCACAACCCATCGCCACGCTCCACTACACGCCCTATCAACGCGCCGATGATGTTATCTCCATGGGCCACGAAGTCTTTGTCCAGCTCATCGAACTAATATCGACCGTTTACGATAACTGAACTACCAACATTCCCCTCAGTAACAGATCTATCTCAGTGACTTCCTCAGTTGACTCAAGGGCCTTGTTTCAAAATCACTCATCGTGCGCTCACATGTGAATCCCTGTGAAATTTCCTCCTTTTGTGTGGAACAAACAGACACTCAATTGTTAGAGCACAGATTGACAAAACTCAATATCTCCGCGATCACTTCCTGTCAATATAGATCGACAACTAGAGATAAGCGATTCATTGAAGTAAAACAGGATCAGAGTGGAGTCTGTGAGTCAAAGTGTGAAAACATTTTATATCACGATCGACTGACCCACTTGGTCAGCAGTCACTTGAGCAGACTTTGGAAGGCTCGATACACGTACGAACGTCTTCTGGGTGTACAGACTCGGGATGCGTGACGAATCGCGATAATTTATGGGATAGGCCAAAAGAAGCTAACTCACCATGTTTCACATACCTGGCACATAATTCGCATCTAAAGGTAACCTATTCAGTGTGAGTAAAATTTCATACGTATTAAGATTGCCCATATCAAACAGTTTGCACTAGGAATTTGGTTTGAAGGTAAGGGTGAAACAATTGCCAAATGCAAGCTGCTCAGCCTTGTGAAACACTTCATTTAGGCTTACTTGGCACTTTAACTTCAATGTCTTCGCCAACATCCATTCGATTTTTATCAAGTTTCCAAAGTTCGCTCAAGAAATTTTCCAGTTCTCCGATGTTCTCTTTTTCCTTGGCGTTGAACACTGGCTTGGCACTTATGGACAGTGAAAAATGGGAAAAAACCTGAATTGTTATTCTGGTAGAATACGTTCTATGTTAGTGAAAGCTGATAAGGAAATCACCAATAAACGAAGCTTCACTTTTTTGAAATTATTTCAGCACAAGTTCACGTATGTTGTAAAAAACAGGTTGTAAGGATGTGAACAAATACCTTGAAACTAGGAACAGACTGTTTCGCAACCGTTAAATGATTGGTAATTCAGCCCTTTTGCAAGATATTCAGTCATGCAAACGACTTTTGGCCGTACGCATTTTTATCATTTTGAATTTCCTGAGTAGCGTTGAGCGGTTCAATCAAATTTTCGTGTTCGCCCTCAGGTTAAGCAAATTATGAACGCTGATCAATATGGCCAGTGCCTCGATAAATTCAAAATCAAGGTCAATGCTAATGGTGGCATCCACCAAACTAGGTGGAAACTTGGTTTGGTAGATCACGAGGTATAAACCTAGATTCTGGGACTACTTGACGGCCGCTACGAGTTTCTTCTCACTACTGGCTGGAATCGCTCAAGTTTTTAGCACGAGGATGTACCGAATTGCAACTTAAACCTATGTAGACTTTTCGTAAGTGTTCACACCATCGAATACAGGTCCTCATCTTCCGAATGGTAGCGGCTGCAGAGGATAAATAAATATACATCTACAAACAAAATTGTGATCGAATTTCGAACGGATTGGCTGATTCACTCAACTTACACGAATTTCCGAACAATTTAATAGCGGAGCTGAGCAATCAGCAGATGTCTTAAGGATTTAACAGCTGATTGGTGCAGTGATGAACTTCTGACCAATAACTACACGCATCACACTCACTGGGTGACAAATGCCCGTTTTAACAACCCAAATAGTTCCGTAACCCCACTGAGTTCTCCCACCTAGCCAACTTCTAGTCCGATAACTGAACACCCTTGTTTGAAAGGACATTACGGGCTTCGTGTGAAGAATGTATTTTTCATTAACTAACGGCTAGGTAGTATTCGATTCAACCTGGCGACGGGGCAACAAAGCATCATTCTTCCGAATTCACAAGTTGCCGGAGCAGTGCTGCCGAGATATTTAAGCAAGTCAGTTACGTCACACAAAGCTCACCATCACTACAGGCGAAAAGGCTTTTTGGTCTTCAGAATAAACAGTCTCTCGACGCCCATACAAATATTAACTACTTATAACTGCTGGTAAAACACCAGTTTAGTTTAGTCCATCCCGTAAATCAACGTGTAATGATCAGCCATCTATCCCAAAGCAGAAAAACACTTTCAGCTGTGTTCTGCCGGCTTCATGTATTTTCCTCCCAGCAGTTGCACAGAGGGTTTGATAACTTCTCACCTCATGACATTTAGAGATAGTACAAGGTAGTAATCGGACAAGCTTTTGACACTGGAAAGTGAATTCTTATTATGGGGTACTTCTTGTGAGTTCTGCGGGGATTTTTCCTTTGGAGGCACTCTATATTTCGGATATCATTCTTCACCTAAATCACTTACGTCGAATGGCCAGTACACGTTTAGATATATATATTTGGAATTAGAAAATACCCCCAAACTGCCACCAATTTGTAAGTAGCTCAGTTGTAGAATTTCACAAGAGTGATAATCACAAACGAGAGACCATCAGTCGAGTAGCCGATCAACAGATGTCCACATGATGAGGGTTCTCTGACTAAAGGATAAGTGTGGCGGTGAGAGTTAATCAAACTGCTGATCGGCCACTCGTGACCTACCAGTGAACAGAAGGTCGCGGGAACGAAACTCGGATGTTCGTTAGAGGTGCGCTACTGATAGTTACCAAAAAGGTACTTCTCGGCATCTCAGCATAGAATGGCTCCAGTGACAGGATGACATCTGTGTTAAAAATCAACAAGTCTACAAAAACCACTACGCAATATTGAGCACCATTTTAGACCGAAGCTGGCACAGGTTTCTCCCATTACAAATGAACCCGGTCTTCTATGCTTTCTCACCACCTACAGTCCTTCGCTTAATGACCACGTGAATGCCTTCACCAATACTGATGAAAGGAAGAAGGCCCTTGATGTGGAGTTATTTATTCGGAAATGCCAACTGACCGGTTACAGACCAGTGAACAGGGAAGCAAAACACTAATCTGCATCTTAGTTCCAAAAACTGGACACAGATCTTCTCCCGAACGAGTCTTCCTAGAGATTCGATGCCTCCACCCATTCGTTGGTCAAATCCAAGCAAATGTTCCACAGTGGTCCCACGAATTCCGCAACAGAATTCCATTTTTCAATCGACCAACACATACTACTCGCGTGCCTCCCGATCAGTAGTATCACCGTTACACTGATATCAATTTGCTGATACAGCAATAAACCCCTCTTCACGAATAACGTTAAGTCACTTCACTAAACATACAAAGTCTGAAGTTTTCGGTCAGACCGTTGGTCATCTACGTACAGAATAAATGTTTTTCTCAATTGGCTACACAAAAACAACACTCACATGTTACTCGTTTAGCTGTATTCATAGCTGTCATGTCACTCAAAAGAAACACACAGGCCGAGAAACTGCCAAAATGCCCGAGGATAGGCAAGAGCAGTCGATGTGCAGTGGTCGGATTCAAACCATAGACCCTCTGGTTCGTAAGTTAGGACCATAATCACTGAGCTAGCTCAGGCTCGCCCTTGGCCTTATTGTAACATAATCGCTCATTGGTTTCGTCATTTTGGTTCACGGATTAAAAGCTATTCGGTCTAACGTAACATTGTTTAGGAACTTGTTGCGTCTAGCCATCCTGACGACTAGGATGGCCGTGCAAAATCGAAAATTCCTCACCATGGTTTGAACAACTTATCAGTGGAATTGAAAAACGTTGGTGTTGACGGTAACTCTTTGTAACCAGTAGTCATCCAACTAGCTAACATACTAATGTTACTGCTACTACGTTTTTACGAGCTCATGTTGGCATCTGGCACCAATCAATGTTCATATCCAACTGAGCACTAGGACTTCTAATTACTTGCGTGGTTACCTGGTATCAGGAAGGTCGAATTCCTGAAAGCAACCACTGAATGCCCGAAATCCACTGAGACCCTTAGCTCCGCTAGATGCCGACCAGATGGACAACGCTCCCTCAGTATGCAGCGTGTCACAGCCTTGATTCAAAACCAGGCAGTGCGAGTCAGCACTGATCAAGGTCAGACAGCACCCGCAATATGCAGCGCATCACAGCCTGGTACCGAAGCCAGACCGCGTGCGTCAGCATTCTACCAAGTCCAGACGGTGTCCCTCCAAGAAACAGCTTAAGGTCGTTGTATTTTCGCACTCACACGCACTCATGCTCTCGCACTTGCTTGTTCGGGATATAGCTGCTGTATCCCCTTCTGCGAGTCTTTTCTCTGGCTCTAGACACTGGAGCGGGGTCAGCAGCATATACAAAATCTTGGCGAATCAGCAGATATAACACCTGGTTACGCGGTTTACTACTAGCGCGTAGTCCGAATGATCGGGAAACAATGCATCAGAAACCATCCGGGGGCTAGTTGAACGAAATCGATTCAAGAATCTGACTACAACGAATGTCACACAAAATTTGCATAGAGAAAGTACAAAACTGATGACACGGCATCGCAATTTCCCCCAGAAAAAGCCGCGAAAATTTGTTTAGCGCTTGCTGCTGATCATTTCTAAGCATTGTCGGTATGATCACTATACTGGTTTGGCAAAATGCACCCGTTTGCACTCCAGTTTGTTTTGATAGGAGACTCAAATGAGACTTAGCTGTCTCTCATTCAAGCTGCTCTTCAACGGAATGCGCTGCACAAAGACCGCGTCATGTTTCAGCTGGTACAAAATTTCAGATATCGCACTGTACCCCAACTGAAGGAAATTCTCATAAGGTTTCCGAAAACGCCTCCACACCCCACGACTGATTTCGCCCTTTAGGGTCTCAGCAAGTAGAGGTAGTCTCCCAGGTTTTTCAGAGATGATAGGAAAGTTGTTTTTCCTAGTTTTCAATAGTAGCAAGCAGAAGGGTCAGCGATCTTGAACTACGAAAAATTTGACTTCACTGAGCTAAGACTGCCTCACATTATGTGTCACTTACGTAAATTGACATTCTTGTTGTCCGGAGTTGATTAGTTGCCCAATTGATTAATTGCTTAACTAAAACTATACTATTAATAATCTAAAAAATCACTTCCACCTCCGTGAAGATGTTGCACAGATGTGTTATATTCACCAAATGTGTACCGGAGAGACCGGTTCCTGGTGAACAGTTTTGATTGTCAACGCGATTTCATCTTGTGTAATGAAAATAGTGGCGATATGAAATATTTCCTAAATGCATTAGTATGGGCATTGGAATATTCCGTGTCCACATTTGGTTTGTGAGTAGATCGCAAGAGGAGATCATTCCCCTTTAAAGTCGTCAACATTGGCGTCCGTTTCTTCCCATGACAACGGAGGCCAATTAGATTTTGAATTCGGCTTCTCTCCGACCAGAAATTCGTAGAGCACTTGAACATAGCACGTGTACAGCGTTGCAAACGTCTATAACCCCGATGGGGTCTTAAAACAGGATTCCGGAAGCATTTGTCATGATGTCTTCAGCACACGCCTAACGTGCCTGTCACTTACAAAATGATTGCTAGAAGTAAATTGTGTGTGGAAAAGATCAACAGCTCTTCAGTGTTATTTCCCGTGCAAAATGTCTCGGGTGATTGGGTAACGTCAAGACCAGGTCTTTCTTACCATTTTCAAGTTTGGAGAACGCTGGAAACAGTTTCAGTTTAATACAAACGTAACTACTAGTTAACATTTCAACGCAGCTAATTTCACAACCTCCATCAGTTCTTGCACTGCAAGCACAAAATGAATCAGTTTGTCATCGTTAGTTATCCCGCCAGTCAGTATCCTACTTCGAATAGAACTGCTAACGAGCTTAAGTCCTCAGAAAAGTATGGATTTTATACGTTTTATGTGCGGACACTCAGGCTTTACAGATATGTGCACGTGATGTGTCGGGCTTGCCCAGATCTCCAGGTGATCTAGCAAACTTTAATATCGGTAATAGTCGTTGAGCTGTTATACAGGCCCTCTGACATCTTTTTCCATGCCACCGCAAAAAAGCACGAGGTTCTAGATACTTCCAGGTTGCTCAAACCTAGACAAAAGCCGTCCAGCTGCAGAGGTTGGGTTCGAAACAAGGGCCATTCGGTCACTCATTTCACTTAGCTCTCTCGAGCGTTCTATCGTAACCTAAGTAAGAATAACGTAGTAAATCATCACTCTAAGTTCCAAACAGTGCAACAACTAAGATAAATGTTACAAATTGACTGTAAAACTCACAATTGCTGAACGTATGAAAATTTCTCAAAAATGCCGGAAGATGAAACGCTGACGGTCAGGAGCCATAGACATACCACAGAAATCAACATTGTAAAAGACTTGGTTTATGTCACAGTCGGGAGATTTATTTCACTTTATGCCCGCATAGTTCTAAACGTTTTAAACACGATTTTCTTGTCGATTGCACAACACCAGTAAACCAGCTTGATTTAAGATCACCAGCACATCGGTATCGATCATCAGCCATACAGCACACGTATATTTTGCTGTACACATGTATGCCGTTCCTCCGGTAAATTGACAATTTCATGACTAGCACATAAATTTGTAAGAGATCTTCCTTGTTAACCGAAACGTTCGGGACATTAAAGCATTTCACACTTTCCCAATGAACAAAGACGACAGCAGAAGAACATTCTTACAGGATGGTGCTGTAACGCATTTGAAACTCGACTGTATCTGCATGCACGTCTCTCCATATGACCTATACGTGCATCTCCCTCTCTCTCCCTATTGCAGGTACCACGGACGAGCCACCACGAGCCCCGGGCAGGAATGAGTAATCCTCTCGTACGCCCCCCTGACTGACCTTGACCTGACTTTGTACCCCCGTCTTCCGGTTTCGGTTTCGGTTTAACACGCCTGTGTTGTTGCCACACTCCAGTGTTCTTGTCTGTGTCACTCGATCTGTGCGAATGTGTGCTGTGCGTGCCGTGTGGATTCCGTAATACCAACCTCTATATCTGCGCATTTCAGAACTGACGTGTGCCGTCGCAACATTCTCTCGAACGTCGAATACCGCTAACTTCCTGACGTCCCACGTGCCATTTCAAATGCACCTATCGACAGATGGTACAGCACGATCGAAAAGGTACAGTACCTGAAAAACTCCTTTTTTGTCGCTACTGTTTGAATATTTTGTTCATAGGTTTTCCGATTTTTCTCAATCACTAGCTCAATACACATACAGCAAGAGAAGGATTTAGATATCCAACTCATTGCACCGTGTTCAGCCTGCCAAATTCCTCAGGAAGATCTCATCCAGGTTATTCGAGAAGAATCGGCACATTGTTAACTAGTCCACGAGTGATTGAAAAAGAGAACAGACAGGAAAACGTGGTTACCAGGATTCTCGTCTGAATGTCTGCAGCAAACCTGTCATCTAAAAACACAGTGACCAAATTCACACGTGATAATATGGTATGAATTCTGAAACTGAGTGATGAGCAATTCTCACTGTACCTCGGGAAACACTGGCTCGACAGCAGCAACCGGGATTCCGGCCCGGTATGGCGATGAGTTAACCGAATCGGCATACCCCGTCAAGTGCTAGAAAAACGCCATACGTATAAGTGACCCACAATTCCAGTATTCCTGGATTTGCAAGACGCATTCTACTCGGTTGATCGGTCTGTTCTTGTTGACACGCCTACCCACCAAGGAATGCATCAGATGTTTGTGAACATAGCAAGCTCTTTGTATTCTCGGACTCTCGGACGTGTGAGAGTATACGGCGAGCTCTCCAAAAGCTTCCATATACAGGGTGGTGTCCGTCAGGGGAGCCCACCATCTCCATTCTTATTCAACTTCGTGATCGATGAAATCATGAGACGAATGCTGGAAGGTTTCCCAAACCATGTTTCCAAATAGCCTGTGACGAAAACCTTCTCGATCTGGAATATGCAGACGACATCGTTTTTGTTTTCGAAGAGGAGAAGGCGCATGTGAGTTTTGAATGAACTGATCACTTTGCATCCATAAAGTGTGAGGTCGTGCTCGTGGACATGCAGTCACTGAACACGCCACCTACAATCCAGAGAGAGGTACTGGAAGTTGTGCAGCGTAATAATAACTTAGAAGTCGTATTTGTGCTGACTGTAGTGTGACGGACGAGGTCACTACACGAATCTGCAAGGCCAGGGTCGCATTTGCTAATTTGAGACACCTATGATGTCAAAGTTGTTCATCCCCGAATCTTAAGGGACGTGTGTATCAGGCTACAGTGCGAGCTAATTTGTTGTATGGTTGTGGGACTTGACCTGTTCGAGCAGTGGAAGTTAGACGTCTTCAGTTGTTCGACAATCGTTGTCTCAAAACCATAGCTCGTACGGGTTGGTATCGGCAAATCTGCAACGAGGTGATTAGAAAGCGTGTTTTCTGTTGTGCAACGAGTAGTTCCATTGAAGAATGTGTCCACCACTAGAATCCGAAGTGGCTAGGTCATGCATTGCGCACGCTGAACCAAAGTTTGCCGAAGGGTGCTGTTGCGTGTCCAATTTGTAGTGACGGAATCAGAGTTGTGGCCAATACACCAGTTTGCAAAGTTATGAATTCTTAATGTTGCCGGTACTACTCGCCTTCCAGGATGGGGACCGCATGATCCCCACCGCCATTGGTTGACGAAGCTGCAAGATATGACTGCTAATCGATGTCATTGGCGTTCTTGAAGTCAGTTTAAATCCAAATTACCTGGATGAGTGTCAGAAAATATGGGCACATCAGAAAGTTTTGTTAGATCAGCGCTCAGTCCCTTCCTCGTCCTCTTGTACACTTTACTTTTACATAGGGCTTTCGAATAAATCACTGTTGTACGGCAGCAAAGTAGTAGTGTTGAACACTGATGTTATGCTGTCGATGATGATGATGACATATCCTGTCTAGATGTGATTTTATTACATAGTTGCTCGAAAGCTCGTGGCCGAACGGTACAGCCTTTACCTACCTACCAGTAAGTTGAGATTTTGGATCGCTCAAGATATTGGTGAGATCTTCGTTGTTCATGATTCCCAGCATGTAGTAACGGTATTTTCCTCAGCTTAGTTCTCCGTCTGAGCCTCCCAAGCTAGCGTTCACGTCAAAACATCCACCAAAGGTGCACAAGGTTTATTAATGCCCTAAACGAAGTCAAGAACAACTTTACAGCGCTTCGTATATATAGCGTAGGTGATTATAACCTTCTGGAAATTCTGACGCGTTCTGGATGCGCCACTGGCAACCGGTATTTGGCCAATGCTGGGTCATGATTGGCTGTTGGGTCCATATTTTCGCCCAATTAAATCACGTCTTGATGCCGGACCGCCAAGCGTCTCGAATTCTTGGCCAATCTTGTGCGAGCTAGGATTATCGGCCGTACCAGCGCCTGAAGGCGTGCGGTATAGCGGGATCCGTGTGGAATCCTGCCTAACACCTCCTCCTTGAAGTTTGCTGACGTAGCTTCCGAAGCCAGGGTTCATTTGCAATGGCGTCACTGGCTTGTGGATCCGGTCTGTCCAGCGTCGCGGTTGTAATCCGTGCTCAGGCTTGGCCTCTGACGAAGCAACTGACTGATCTTCTAAGATTGTGCCGAGATCAAAAGTGTCCAGAAGCGTTTCTAGACTCAAATCACTCGGTCCTGTTGGCAGGATCTTTGTACATGTCGGCCAAATTCGGTTCGCGTGGCGTATCCAATTGGCTGAACCAACCTGAATCTCGTGGAGCAATTTGCGGAGTCGGCGAAGGATGAGTCCTGGCGTCCATGCAGGGTGTCTGCGGCTGTAGTCACGAATCAATACTCTCTGACCTCCGCTGAATGAGCGCCCAGTTGCTCCATGATGCCGGTTTAACTGTTGATGAGTCCTTCCATGCAGGGTGTCTGCGGCTGTAGTCACGAATCAATACTCTCTGACCTCCGCTGAATGAGCGCCCAGTTGCTCCATGAATGATGTTTAACTGTTCCTCCATTCTGGTGTTGCGGTGACTAGCCTGTCTTTTTTGTGACCAGATAGTGTCATGCGGTGTTCGGAGCCTCCTTCGGAGCAGTGCCTCTGCTGGTGGTACTCCATCAGGTGAGTTGGGGTTTGGCGTCGCTCGATATGCCAGCAGGGACCTTTGCAAAATCTCTTCCGTTGGTCCCTCCCCTCTGGACTTCTGAAGTGACCGCTTGAGAGTGTCAACAAAGCGTTCCATTCGGCCGTTTGACTGTGGATGAGACGGTGGCGAGCGTATATACGTTATGCGCTGGTATTTGCCGTCCTCCTGGATGGGGACCCCGAGACGGGCCACATCAATGTCTGGAGACATTGTCAAACATGACCCAGTCGCGCCCTCAGTGGCGCTTGTGCATCAAAGCTATTGCCTTCAGTGTATAGCTCTTTTTCCAACCCCCTTCACTTGACAGCCCACTGACAGTGCTGGATTTATGCACCAACTTACCAGCTCGCGCCTGCAGTGCGCAGCTACCTACCCCCTCCCCCACTAAACCATCGGTGAATGAAACTGCGGCAGCTGCAACCACTGTACGACGAGTACGCGGTTATTACAGCTGACAATGATGATGATGATGCCATACTCCAGACAAAAGTATGCGAACGCCGACGACGTAAACTGACTGCCGTTGTCGAATACAATAGCTTCTGGCGTTCCAAAGCGACTGAACAATCTCCGAAGTTCCAGGACTGTAATGGCAGTTGTGGGGATGTTCACCCGAAAAATTTCCGGCCATTTGCTGTAAGCGTCGACCACGACCAAAAAGTGTTGGCCACCCACTGGACCTGCATAATCGATATGAAGACGAGACCAGGGTTCGGTCGGTTGCGGCCATGAGCGTAGGTAGGTTTCCACCGGTGACTTGGATGCTTCGGCGCACCGCAGGCAAGATTTTGAGACTTGCTCGATCTACGAGCCCATCAAGGGCCAGTAAACATAATTCCGAGCAAGGGCCTTCATCCTGTTTGTTCCCGGGTGCCCTTTATGGAACTGATTCAGGACGGCTGGTTGTAACTTCTTTGGGATGACCACTCGTTCTGAAAACAACAGGCATCCATCGGCTAGTGATAACGCGTCACGCCGGTTGAAGTAAGGCCTTAGTTCGTCTTTTTGGCAGGTGCGCGGCCACTGATTGCGATGGTACTTTATGACTTGCTGCAGCACAGGGTCTTGATCGGTAGCCTGGCGGACCATGTCGGCAGTCACTGGGAGGATGCGAACAGCTTCGGAAACTACGTGGTTAACCTCTGGTTCCAAGGCAATTGTTGCGATCACGGTATCTTCTGGTTCTGGCCTGCTTGAATCAATGAGTCGGGACAGTGCGTCGGCTTGTCCCAGGCTGGTAGTGGACTGGTATTTTATCTTGAAGTCGTACCCCAGAAGCAGAGTGGCCCATCGCTGGAGCCGGTTGGCAGTATATGCCGGAATTCCTTTCTTCGAGCCAAACACAGCAAGAAGTGGCTTGTGATCGGTCAGTAGGGTGAATTGACGGCCGTAAAGCATTTTATGAAACTTCTTAACGGCAAACACGATCGCCAAGGCTTCCTTTTCTATCTGACTGTAGTTGCGCTCGGCTGAAGTCAGGGATCTGGCCGCATGTGCAATGGCTTTCTGGCTGCTATCTGGAAATACGTGTGAAATCACTGCGCCAATTCCATAGTTCGAGGCGTCCGACGCCACAACAATTTCCATCGATGGATCGTAGTGTGTGAGTAGCAAATCGGAACTTAGCATGGATTTGACAGAGTCAAAGGCGCGTTGACATTCTTCTGACCATGTCCACTTGTGGTCCTTGGTAAGTAGCTGATTTAGTGGGCCTCGAAGGCGATGCATGGCAGGCAGGAACGAACTGTAGTGACTGACGAGACCGAGGAAAGACCTGAGGGACGCCACGTCTGTGGGTGCTGGCATACGTCTGATCGCTTCAATGTTCTCCGGGTCTGGACGGCGGCCATGTTCGTCAATAATGAACCCAAGGTACTTTATCGACCGCATGAAAAATGTGCATTTCTCTCGGCGCACTTTGAAGCCATATTCTTGAATACGACTAAGCACGTAATCAAGGCGCTGCCACAGTTCGTGGGGATTGGAACCCATGACAATGAGGTCATCCAAATAGGCGGCAACGCCTGGTGCATCCTTCAGCATCGTATCCATAATCTGTTGAAATATGGCCGGCGCTACTTTGACACCAAATGGCAGTCGAGTGTACTGGAACAGACCTCGATGCGTATTGATCGTGAGCAGTTCTCGGGATTCTTCCTCCACTTCAACCTGGAGATACGCATCGGCCAAGTCAATCTTTGCGAAACATTTACCCCCATTCAGTTTCGCGAACAAGTCGTCTGGGAGAGGCAGAGGGTATTGGTGGGTATCCGCCGTCACGTTGAGAATGGTGGCGAAATCTGCGCACAACCGGATCGTCCCGTTAGCCTTCTTTACCAACACAATAGGTGCGGCCCAAGCACAGTGGTTGGTCGGTTGGCGAACACCCGCCTTTTGAAGTCGGTCCAGTTCTTAGTCAACGACAGGCAAGGCTGCATAAGGCACTGGACGTTTTGTCCTGAAGACTGGCTTGGCAGCAGGGAGGAGGCACAGTCTGGCTCTTGCTTTTGTACACCGTCCAAGCTCGTCAGTGAATACAGATGCATAACGTTGTAGGAGGTGCTCAAGTGAACGCTTTGGCAAATCAGTTTGTCCGGGTGCTGCGTGTATGCCGTTGCAAATAGAGTTGATTGGTTTATCCAGCAGGTTTAGCTTTTCGATCCAATCTAGCCCCATGAGATCAAGTTTGGGGCATGACGTCAGGTAGCAGGTGGCTTGTGCCGTCGAGTCCTTGAAGTTAATGAGGCAGTCCACTTCGCCAGTCAACTTCAGTTTGCCACCGGAAGCATTACGGGCCCAGTGATCAGTCGGCTTCACATATGGCTTACCGATTCGCTTCCACGTTCGTTCACTGAGCAGCGTGATATCGGAGCCAGTATCAAGTTGCAACCGAACTGGGATGTCGTTGATACGAACCGTCACGAACTTCCTTCGGCAAGCAAAATCAACTTTGAATGTTGCCGTCACCGAGTTGGACCGCGATTTGTGGGCTGCACGGTGGTGTGCGGGTGGCTGCAATCTTTGAGATCGACACAAATCTTCTTTGTGGCCGCGACGACTGCACCTGGAACATTTGTGACGCCTGAACCGGCAATAACGAGCAAAATGCCACTCACTGAAATGCCAGCAACTCGTGGGAGGCTTACCCTGTCTTCTCGGGCTTCTTGTCGGATTTCCTGGGCACGCTGAAGTTAATTGCCTGTACACAGCTGCTTGAGGTCACAGGTGACTGACCGATCATAGCCGTGTCGTGCTTCAGGTTGATGAGACGTTGGCATTCAGTGGTGAAGCTCTGCAACCTCATTTCGGCATCCTGTTCAATTCTGTCAAGCAGCCGGGTTCTGGTGTCAGCATCATGGGATGACTGGAGACCGGATACAAAAATGAGGCACTTAAACTGATTCTCCGTCATTGAGCTGAGCTTGAAGCGCTCGAATTCTAGATTGACAACTGTGCGATGCTCTCCAGATTTTTCATGCGGATGTACCTTGTTGGTGGTGTGAGAAGAATTAGGCTTTTGTGAAGAATTCGTCTATCTATACTGAAAGCCGAGAAGCACTGAACAGCTGTTTCATTCTTGTTGGTTATCATGAGCAGTGCGCATCTCCAGAGTCTCGAACCCGCGACCTCCCGGCTAGTGTTTGAAACATTTAACCAGTCGACCATGGGCGGATGATCAGCCGTGGGATTAACTCGCACTTAGGCAAGATATAGCGCCACTCATCGTCCAATTACGGGATCCCCATCACGCGGTCATACGTGTTGACTGGCTCCTCGAGTAACGACTTCTCAGATGGAAGTTTTACTCATCAGGTGAAGTTTATTCTTCTACTTTTTTCTTTGTTCTTCTACTTATAGATTGTTGATATTGTGCAAAGATTTAAGTTTCTGTGACCGAAAGGTTAGGTGTTCCAACTACTAGCCGGGATGTCGCGGGTTCGAAACCCTCTGGAGTTTCGTGAGATACGCACTGCTGATGATTCCCAACAAGAATGAAACAGATGTACGGTGTTCCTCGGGTTTCAGCATAGATTGGCTTCGCTTACAGGACGAATACTCCACACAATGAAATGATTTGTTGGGTGACAGTGCGTATTAGAATTGTACCAATTCTCAGCATCTTTGCAATCATTCTATAATTGCTCAGCTTCGCGAACTAATCATGCCCCACGACTCACTTTTATTAATCAACCATTTCACACTTGCATCTGCATCCGTGTCCTTTAGGAGGGTTCGCAAGGTTCGGTAAATATGATGCTTTGTGCTGGCGTCAGCGACCTGACACTCCATTTTGGCCGTCTGAAGTGAATGAAAAGTAATTCACAAACAGACGATAATTGTCAAAACGTTGCAATGAGAAAATTACCCTGATTTGAGTACTCTGGTAAATAATCGGATCAATCAGGTAATCTTAAGGAAACTGAACTTTCCACGCTCGCTGGAACATGTGATCTGACCCTGGCAGTTTCGTAGACAGAGATCAGACGAAATTTAATCGTGGTTCTCCGAAGTTATTGGAGAATTTTTGTTTATTGCCTCATTGAATAGGTTAAAGTGATTGTCTGTTTGCAAACAACTGGGTCAATTATCGTAGTTTGCCGAGCTGTCCACACCACATTCAGTAAACAGCGGTAGAAATAGCGTTCATGATGATAACGCTGGTTATGTCGAGGAGAATGGTGAAAACGATTCTTCTGAGGTTGTTGAATTTGATGGTAAACATGATGACGAACAAGGTGATAACGTAACACGGCTGTTACCTGTCTATGCGACCTGAAATTCCGAATGAAGTACACAATGGACCAACGCTGAAAACCCACTTAGTGTGACCTGACTTTACGAGCACAGTATGGCACAGATTGCAGAGGCTTTTTGTTCGAAGTGGATCCTCCGGGTGAAGGTTTTTTGTTTGCCGAAAAGCTCGATGATAACCAACGGTCGCCAATATTTCATCAAGCATGAAAGGTTCTAATGTAAAATTTTCCCATCAGTAGTAGAAAAATTTATTGTTCATCCACGGTTGAATGACTGACGGTGATGTTGTCTTGTCAAAGATTCCAG